TGGTTATGCAATGCTATATAATTATACTCATAATATATGAATTTCCCCACTTCAAAAAAATCAGATCAGTGCATTTATGTGCATTAATAGCATCGGCATATTTTAAAATTTTAGTCATAAAATTAAGTGCGAGAACTTATTGTTTAAACAAATTGCAAGTACTCCTACTTGAAAGCACATATTTTTCATATCCAAACCATTGTTCAAGTGGGTTGGATTTCCATCTTAAACATGGTAAGTATATTTCTTATAATAATCCCAATTAGGAAAGGCTGGAGAGACATACCAGTATGTAAGGAATGTGCCTAGCACGTGGCCAGCTTCTCTGACCATCAACACTAAACCTCAGACATTGAACACCACTGGGAATTATCCCTGAATACAAAGCAAGGAGATCCCTGAATACAGAGCAAGCACTGATGACTGCTGGGCACAGCCACCACAAAGAGGAATCCAATCTGTAATTCTTTTCTATATTACTCTATTTGCATATCTCAATTTTAATTTAAAAAATTTATTTTAATGTAGGAGTATTGCTATTTATTCAGCTATTGATTAGGCTGGTTGAATTGGACATGAACTCCACCTTACTTTTTTTTCTCTTTTTTATAAATTTATTTATTGAATCACCAAATTGCAAAGCTTTTGGGTTTAAGTCTCTGTCATACATTGATGAAATACCTGTTCCTTCACGAGTGCCCATTCTCCACCACCAAAAACCCCAGCATACCCCCATCCTACACCCCCCCCCCACCTGCGGGGCAGATGATTTCCACATTACTCTCTCTCTACTTTGATTACATTCAGTATTTCGACACCAGACCCATCATTACTATTTGGGATTTTACCCCAACACTAAGATCTGCCAAAAAGGCAACCATGGACAATTTGTTTTCTATTGCTGATTATGAATAACATATGATGTCGTGCGGCCGCTGCAGTGGCCATGTGATTTTGGAATTTTGAAATTTTAACAACTAAATCTGGAGGCATTTCTGTCAAAACCTTCTGGGTTCTGAGATTTGCTCCTGAGTCTCTAGCATCATGGTTGTTAAGCAGCTTGATCAGGGACCAGAGAGGCCATTCGTGGGTGGTGAACCAGGATCTCATTGAGGCAGGGAAGAAAGGGCCGGTTCCACTCCCATCCCTTGAGCCTCTGCATATCTTGTCACTGCAGTCAACCTGACTGACCAATGGCCTCTGGAGGATGGCAGCCACCGAGCCACCAGGAAGGACAGACCAAGGCACGAAACCTTTCCCACCTGGGGTGGCCTGGTGCCGGTAACCTACTGCAGGGACAGGACGCATTTCTGTCAAAAGCCACTGGGTTCTGATATTTGTTTCTGACTCTCTGGGATCATGGACGCTAAGCAGTTTGATCAGAAACCATAGAATTCTTGCCTCCAATTACATAGCTGAGGCAGAGGTGGTTTCTTTGTGTGTCTCCTACATGCCTAACTTTTTCTTTTTCTTTTTGGGTCACATCCGGCAATGCACAGGGGTTACTCCTGGCTCTGCACCCAGGAATTACTCCTGGTGGTGCTCAGGGGACCATATGGGATGCTGGGAATTGAACCCGGGTTGACCGCGTGCAAGGCAAATGCACTACCCGCTGTGCTATCAATTCCGCCCCCCCCCCCCCACATGCCTAACTTTTGGCTGTCTACTTTCTTGGGAAACTTGGTCCCAAGTGGTTGGGGTCTGGCCAAAGGCAGAGCAGCAATTTTGGGTTATCTAGAAGTCTGAAGGCACCATCATGTTGCTGAAGCTCTTGCCTCATAAATATAGATTGACCTGCTGGTGGCACCATACCCGAATTTCTCAATTTTTAAAAGCAATAGTTAATGAAAAGTTTAGACCAGATTATCTAAATAATTCCAAAATTTTACTGATGACTAAATTTTTGATGTATTACGGTTTGAAAAACATAAGGTATGATAACTTGTGCTCTTGATTTTTTCATCACTCTAAACTATCTATTCACTATCACTATCACTGTCCATCTGTTGTTCATCGTTTTGCTCAAGCGGTCCCAGTAACATTGTGAGACTTGTTGTTACTGTGTTTGGCATATCAAATACGTCCCGGGTAGCTTGCCAGGCTTTGCCATGCAGGTGAGATAGTCTCGGTAGTTTGCTGGGCTCTCTGAAAGGGGTGGAGGAATCGAACCTGGGTCGGTAGCAAATTATCTATTCATAAATTAAAAAAACATTATTTTAAAACTGGGTTGTTTAAATTTAAATGAATTATTGTCAACACAATATTGATGAATAATTTTGATATGCACTTCCAGTAAGATTTACAAATATTTTATATAATTTTGAGATGTATATGAAGGAAAATTATAAAGATAAAAGTATGCTTTAAAACATACAAAACTCCCTCAGAAAGTGATAATAAGCTGGAGCAAGTTATATTATTTCCAAAAAATCTAGAAGATTGTTCAGCACTTCAGGCAGGAGTAGAAGCTAGACAAAGATTTGGGGGATCGTTTATTCAATATTACATTCAGCAGTTAGGTTTTTAAATGTAAAAATTTTGAAATATATCTTTAAAAGTTCAATATTTAAAGTTTGTTTAAATATTCTACAAAGAAATAATCATCCATATCAAGAGAGGGTTTCGGCAGGGTGATACCATTTCACCAAAACTCTTCAGTGCCACCCTCGAGAACATCATGCGACGACTGGAATGGGAAAGCATGGGAATGAAGATAGATGGTCGGCAACTACACCACCTCCGCTTTACTGATGACATCGTTCTAATAACACCAAACATCAGCCAAGCGGCACAAATGCTGAACGACTTTGACCGTGAATGTGGAAAGGTCAGACTACAGCTGAATCTTATGAAGACAATGTTTATGAGAAACAGCCTTGTTCCTGACGCTCCATTCACTCTCAACGGAACCACCATCTCTGAATGCTACAGTTATATATACCTAGGTCGAGAAATCAACATGATGAATGACCTGGCACCTGAGTTGCGCAGGAGGAAGAGAGCGGCTTGGAATTCCTTCAAGAACATTGAAGAAATAACTAAAAGGACAAAGAACCTCCAGCTACGAGCACATCTCTTTGATTCCACCATTCTTCCTGCATTAACATATGCCTCAGAGACCTGGACCCTACGAAAACAGGATGAGAATGCTACTCGGGTCTCTTAAAGAAGAATCGAAAGAGCTATGCTTGGAATATCACGATTCACTGAAATGAGAGATAGAATCCGGAGTTCTGATCTTCGTCAACGCTCAAGAATCAGGGACGCTGTCTCATTTGCCAAGACATCAAAAATCAGATGGGCTGGACACGTAATGAGGTTTACAGACAACCACTGGACTAGAGCCATTACTGATTGGATTCCATGGTCAGACTTCTTCGTCAAGACCCTGAATGATCAGTTTGAGGCTCTGCATGATCTTAGAACGAACAGATACCATTGGGTTACGCTAGCACGCAACCAGGATGAATGGAGACGTTACTGGCACCCGCTCAAGTAAATCGATGAATAACGGGGATTAAGTGATTAAGTGATCTTTAAAAGTTCTTATATTTAAATTTCCTTTCATCAAGAAACTAATTGCAATGACTTCATGGTCTTGAACCAGGACCCTCATTTTGATTTTTAATATAAAAATTAATAATTTTAAAGTCCTCTTCATCCTTTTCATTTTCCTCCAATAACTATCTCTTTAAAAATACTTTGGGCTGGTGTGATAGCACAGTGGGTAGGGCATTTGCCTTGCACACGGCTCACCCAGGTTTGATTCCCAGCATCCCATTCCCCTGAGCACCGCCAGTAGTTCCTGAGTGCATGAGCTAGGAGTAACCCCTGTGCATCACCGGGTGTGACCCAGAAAACAAAAAACAAAAAACAAAAACTTAATATGTCATTTATGTTACGCTAAATTGTACCTTTCTCATCTTTTGTCAGATTAAACATGTTATTTCATTGTTATTCATACAGGGAAGAAACAAGGGCAGTACTGTAAGTCTGCCAAGGGAAGACAAAGCCCATCTCTGAATTTATATTATATATTATGTCACAGAACATTTGATAAACACACAGACCACTCGTATATCAGAAGCATCTCCCAAACAGATGGAGTACATAATTACAATTTTTGTGAGAAATACCTGGCAACAAAAGGCATATTAAACAATCAAATATAGTTCTGATATGTGCATGTTTGACTTAAATGAACATCCAAACGCTCTACACTAGAAACTAGAAACATCTACTGTATTATTATACAAAACAATGCTAAAAATTATAGATGTACAATTGTAAAGTCTAAGGTAACTTGATTGCAAAGTGTCTTATGGTTGAAAATCAATTAAGTTTATTTAAAAAATATAAAAAATAAATATAAATATATTTATTTTTAAATAAAAATAAAAATAAATATAAAATAAATTCATTTCATTTCATTTCATTTCATCATCCTGTTAATCGTCGATTGCCTCGAGCAGGCCCCAGTAACGTCTCTTTCATCCTAGCCCTGAGATTATATTCACGGCTCTTTAGGAGAATGAGACCCATCATTGTTACTGGTATTTGGCATATTTGGTAGGCCACGGGGAGTTTGCCAGACTCTGCCCTGTGGGCAGGCTACATTCGATAGCCTGCAATAAAATAAATATAAAATAAAAAAAATAGAAAATGTTATTTTTAAAATATTTGACCACCTCTGGCAGTGTGCTGGACTTAATCCTGGCTTTATACTCGTTTTATTCCTGGAAATGTACTAAGAACCATTTAGGGTACAATAGTTTGAACCCAAGTTGTCTATATGCAAAGCAAGGTCCATACCTACTATACTACTTTTCCTAACTCTACAATTCTTCTTGCTGTAAAACTTTGAAATAATAAAATAATCGGAAGGAGTCTTCCCACTATTTAATTTTAAAATTCTTATTAGTTATGTCTGGGATAGTCTATCCTTCCTTACTTTTAACAATACAATCAGTAAATTATCAAAATAAAATACACATACATACCTGTCATTTCCAATACTTTGGGAAAAAACAATTTCCAAAATCGACATTGTTGAGCACGTAGTTTTGTGTTTACTCTTGGTGCCTCTGTACTTAAAGTTAAATATTTTTGGTCAGTGATTTTAAAGACAGGCCATCTTGTACTACTGTTCTGGATCCCATCAGGATTTCTAAGAAGATTAAAGAGACACAATATAGGTCTATTTGCTTTTCTGGATTACGCAGAATATTAATTTTTCTAAAAATATTTACAATAACTTTTAAAAAGCCAGAGAAATTTTGAATTTGTTTTGATTATGTAAGAATTTATCCATATTAAATACATTTTTCATTATAGTGAAAAATTATGTAGCTAAAATTACAAGAGTTGATATTTAAGAAAATTTTCAAGTGCATTTCTTTTAACTATATAAAAACTTATCTAGTCTTTTAATAATGTTAATGTTCTATTCACACTTAAACATGAATAGATTTTATCTTCTCCCTTATTCCAGGCCTAGTCTTTTCACAATGAAAATTAAAACTTATTTATTCAATATTCCTTGCATGTATTTAATTTTTTTTTGTTCCTTTCAACGTTGCCGGAGTTTAGTATCACATACATGGTGTTCTTCTAGAAATTTTGTCTCACTTTTAAGTTAATATTTCATATTAATATTTATTGTTGGTTCCAAAGAAATAGTACAGAGTTAAGGTGCTTGATTACCCCCTTCCAACTTAAATTGTCAGCATTGCATTTGTTTTCTCTAGCACTTCCAGGAGTCTAGGAGTGATTCCTCAGCAGAATCAGGCATAAGCCCTGACTACCATCCTATGTCTCCTGCCTTAACACACACACACACACACACACACACACACACACACACACACACACACACCACACACAATCCATTGTTGAAAAATTCTTTCCTCTTTCCAAAGTTCCCCACTGGGATCTCATAAATGTGCAACTCATATTTTTTCTTATTTTTAGAGATTCTTTTGAATTAAATAATAAGAATTACTGATAATTCTTTAGATTTGCCTTACCTATGTATCTTCCTTACATTTACTCCAGCTATTACTTCTAGCTGGCATCCATTTGGTTGCCAAAATTATGATAATAAGCTAATTCAGAATTTTCACATTCTTTATCATACCAATATTTACTACATTTCATGCTGTGATTCTTTCTTTTCTTTTGTTTGGCATGTTCAGGGCTTACTCCTGGCTCTGTACTTAGGAATCACTCCTGGCAGGTTCTGGGAATCAAACCTGGGTCTTCTGCATGCAGTGTGATTTATAATAGTCAATAACCCTTGACTTACATATTGGGGTTCATTTGCATATCTGTAGCAATCAACAATATATTATTACTCATACCACAGTAACAGAATTTCAAAGAACAAATATTTCTAAAGCAGTTCCATGTATTTCAACATGAATTTTGTGGGTTCATTTTATTTTTATGATTTTATAATTAATCAGACACTACTGTAGTCTTAAGAAATACAAAAAACCCTAAAAAATTTTTTTAAAAAAGGACATTCAAGGAAACAATTCACAAAATCAGGTATAAATAAAGGCACACAAATTGCCAAAAGAGGAATCAGTCACAGTTTTCAAAAAATAAAATTATGTAAGAAGAGAGAGTCTAACTGAAGAAGTAAAATAGGAGATGTAAATTAGAGAAGCTGAGGAAGTTAAAGAAAGTAAACAGAATTTACATATACATAATAAATAACAAGTTAACAAGCTTAGATTTAAAAAATTCCAATCTATATACTTTTGATTATTAGAGAATAGAGAGTAGTATAGAGAACATAAAATGTTTTTTCCCAAAAGTCTCTCTACCAAGTCATTTTCAAAGAGTAGCATTCATCCAGCATGGCTAACTGGAGGCAAATTTTGCCATCAAGGACTTGTATTGAATAAGGAATACAAATTCATATTTTATCATAGAAGCAGATATATTCAAACATGAATTTAGAAACTTTAGACATAAATAGGTTCTTGATGGACTAGTCGGTTTTATGTATAGAAACTAGATGATTTGACAAGAATTATTAATAACCAGAGCTACTCAAGTTAAACCAATATCAGAATATAATTGAAACTTCCTGCTTTAGGGTATTATTTCAAAAGAGGTCATAAAAATTTTCTTCAGATCACAGATGGCACAGTTGTCTAGGTGAATTATGAAGCATCTTTCCTTTTTTTTTTTTAAAGCTTTCAAAACTAATGAGTACAGCTGTTAGAGGCTGGAACTTAAACCAGGAAAAACATTGATCTGATTCAGAACAGTAATTCTTATGTACCTAAATGGCCCACTTTCCTTCTAATTCTGCTCTAATTAGCTTATGGTGCCATTGTAGCTGTTCATTCATTTCTGGCTTCTATAATGGTGACTTAACCAGAGCTGACTTGCACTTGAGTTCAAGATTGAAGCATTAAAGACACTGCGAGAGTTCATTTAACAAACTATCCTATGAAATAACTCATGAAATTTTAACACATTACATAATATAACTTTTTAGTCCATGGATTCAGATATAGCTTTCAAAAAGTGATTTAAGTGGAAATCAAAGAGATGGAACATTTTACCTTATAATTTGAAAAATCTTTATCTTAAAAAAGAGTTAGATATTACAATATTTCTTTCTGTATCAATTAAACATCTTGCTCAATATATTTCCCAGATAAACAATTCTAAAACATAATGTAAAATGTAATCTAAAAACACAAAATATTTTAAATATCTTTACTTCTATATTTTCAAAAACATATTTTCTTACTCAATTAAATATTTCTTTGATAATTCCTAAAAGTTTCTGTGGAACAGGGAAATATACACTCAATTTTTACTATAAAATAATTTTTGCTTTGGATGTGCAAAAATCTTCTAATTTAACTTTCTTCTTATGTGGGTTAAGTAAATTTCTTTTCATTTATCTTGTTTTTGGATTACTCCTGATAGGCTTGGGGGAATCCCATAGGTGCCAACTGAACCTAATTTGGATGCATATAAGGAAAGTCTTTAACTACTTGGCTGTAGCACTATTTTGGAGGGGCATCCTAAATAGGATACTTGGTATCACAAATCAGGGAATTTCTGTCTGTTACCTATGATTCCTCATTACATAATTATCTTGAAGTAATTATTTGTCAGGTTGTTTACAAAACAAATAAAATAAAGACCAGGTTCATAGCTTTCACTTTCACCAGAAATCTTTCATTCATATGAAGTCTCAGAAAATAGTTTGTGTTAGATAATTTTATGTATGTAAATATTTATAAGTATTGATATGTCACACTAAAATAAAATTGTATTTAAATTTAAGATGTATCACTGTTTTAAGAGAATATGAATTTAGAGAAAAATTATTTTATTAATTCAATAAGGGCTTATTTAGTACAAATCATATTATGTTTCTTTGAGTGCTGGGAAATAGAAGACAAAATATGAATTCCTGCCTCTCGCATTTTTCATATGAGTAAGTTAGTCAAAAAAGAAGAAAAATAAGTGAAATAATGTAAATCATATATAAAGATACTAGATTGTAGTGATAATTTCTGAGAGGCAGTGATGAGAGGTGTGTGTTGGATATCATGACTGGATTTTTTCTATAGTTCTTATGAAGTAACGTTTAAATCTATGATTTTTTCACCGTATCTGAGTGTGCTAAGACGTTGACTTGTGCCTCACTTTGAATATCAATATAGAAATTGGGATATTTGTAGAAAGACTTGTAGAAAGATTACTTGATGGTAATTGTGTGATTGTAGCACGGTCCTGTAGCACTGTTCACCGGAGCAGTAACACGGCGGGCAGGGCATTTGCCTTGCACGTGGCGACATGGATTCGCCTCCTCTATCCCTCTCAGAGAGCATGCAAGCTACCGAGAATATCGCCCCCACACGGCAGAGCCTGACAAGCTCCCGGGGCGTATTCAATATGCCAAAAACAGTAACAAGTCTCAAAATGGAGACATTACTGGTGCCTTCTCAAGCAAATTGATGAACAATGGGAAGGCAATGCTACAATGCTACAATACAAATGCATGATGAAGACTTTGAACCAGAGATTACCAGCCTCAACTCTAGAAAAGAAAGGGATGAGGGTAGGATTCAGCAAGTGTAAAATTATTTCATTTATTTTACCTGTATAATAATATTTCAATTAAAATGTACAACTCAAACTCACTTTGATTGCCCCTACTCTTTAAACACGTGGCCATAACTAATAACATGTCAATATTGGATCTCTAACAATGCAGATGCCATGCATTGGGAGCTTCTCACTCTTAGATTCCAGCCTTCCATTGATTGAGAATGATACAAATCCTTTCATTAAAATAAAACTATAATTTAAATCTTAGCACTTAACTGAGTAATTTGAGTTTTTCTAGCAAATCAAAGGACTCCACAAGCATTTTATATTATCTGAAGTGAAAATGACCCTGTAAACTTTTAACATGCAATCGATGTCAGAAGGATAGCTCTTTCAATTCCTCTTTCGGATATCCAAATAGCATTCTCATCCTGTTTTCATAGGCCCCAGGTCCCTGAGACGTGTGCTAGTGCAGGAAGAACAGTGGAGTCAAAAAGATGTGCCTGGAGCCGGAGTTTCTTTGTCCTCTTAGCAACTTCTTTGATGCTCTTAAAGGTGTTCTCTTCCTCCTACACAGTTATAGTGCCAAGTCATTCCCCATGTTGAGTTCTCGACCCTGGTACACATAGCTGCTGCATTCGGAAATGATCGTTCCATTGAGAACAAACGGAACGTCAGGGACTAGTTCATTTTTCATGAGCATTGTCTGTGTGAGATTCAGTTGCAGTCCAACCTTTTGACACTCCCGGTCGGAGTCGGCCAGCATTTGTGCCGATTGGCTAATGTTTGGTGTTATTAGAACAATGTCATTAGTGAAGTGGAGGTGGTGTAGTTGCCAATTGTCTATCTTCACTCCCATTTCTTCCTATTTCAGTTGTTGCATGACATTTTCAAGGGTGGCACTGAAGAATTTCAGTAAGATGGTATCAACCTGCTGAACCCCTCTCTTTACATCAATGATCATTTCCTTGTAGAATGTTGAGATACTGGTTGTGAATTTGTAATACAGGTCAAGGAGGATGCTGATGTACTGAGACTGAACCTGTTTGGTTAGAGCTTCAATGACTGCTTCAGTCTTAA